GCCTGTCCGAACATGAATTTTACCGCGGATATAGTTCCTGGAGCCATCGGGGCGTAGGTCTTCAACTGAAATGATGGCGGGTTTACCTGCGCAGTTCTCGAGTTTGCAGCATAGCCAGATGAACCAACGACCGGAGCAGGTGCCATTGTGTAAGGTGGGCGAGGAGAACCGCTTGTTCTACTTGCCGCAGAGTTGCGGTCAAACACACCTATGTGCGGTCGAGGATCGAATTCTGGACACCCTTTCAGATCTAACCACCACAGGTCACTGATCTTGTCCATATCCTCGCTCAGACCTCCAAACACCCAAACGCGGTCATTCCAAATATAAGCGGAGTGATCGAACCGGCCGACGAATCGCCATGCCTTGGACCAGGTAAAAGTCCTGAGATCAAGATAGCAGATGTCATCTAGAACATAATTGTTCTGACCGGTAATGCCACCAATGATGAAGAGCTTGTCCTCATGCAAAACGGCGGCGTGTCTGGCTCGGCCTTTGGGAATAGGGCCGAATACTTGTGGCTGAGTCCAGTGAGCAGTTTTGAGGTCGAAGACGATGAGATCGGAGAGGTACGTTCGATGCTCGTTTTCGCCGCCGAAGACTAGGAGCTTGTCGCCTTGATATAAAGTGGCTGTATGGCCTAATGAGATGAGTTAGCTTGGGAATCCGAGCACACAAATCGGTCGGGGCAGTCCCGTACCCATTCTTACGCCAGGAATATCACCGTAGTTGTCGACCAAGCTCCACTGGTGACTTATGAGGTCCAGGCGAAGCACATGGTTATATACTTCATCTGTGTACTGGTCAAATCCGCCAAAGGCATATATTTGATTATTCCCACAGTATGTCACAGATGCATTCACTAAGCAGGCAGGCCGTTGGCCCAAAGTGCGTGTGATTTTTGGACGGTATCCATCCGCGACAGGCCGGGTCCTGGCCGGGGAGTTTGGCATGATGTAGGTGTTGTTCGACGATGAGGCTGCAGAGGTCGGAGTCGGGATTGGGGCAGCATTCATTGATGGCGTTCCTGACAATGTCAAGCTGGTGATAGCAGAATTTGGATGGATTGGGGCCCCGGCATGGGCTGCTGGGCCACCAAAGATGGATGATGCCGGCGCGTGACCGGGAGTTAAAGGTTGCGCCATGCTCATGGACCTCGCTGACGCCGCTCGATCAAGTCATCTCAGCCGCAAAGAAGGCAACAGACCTGTTAAATAGGTGAGTTTCGATGCTGACGAATGGACAAGAAAGAAACGGGGGATTCGCAAACGAACAATGAGACTGTGAAGTGAAGGACACACACAACCGGTGAACAGTGATGCCAGAAAGCCGAACGCTTGGACTATCCACAGAGGTGTTCAAGTTGGAAAATGGAGCAGATTCCAGGGCGGCTAATTTTTGCTTCTTGGTCGGAGACTCTCCAACCCCACTATGGAACACTTTGGGCTAGACTTGTTTTTACCCCCTGCCCCTGCCCCAGACAATTGCAGGGATATTTGACCAAAAGAGGCGTAGTGCCCAAACTGGCCAGGACTCGATGCGGAGGTTATATTATCCGTTTCCTGGCTCCCGTTGCCTGGACAGACCTGTAGTGGGGCCCAAAGTAAATAAAAGGAATCGGTGAATGACATCCTCATTACCACCTTTCTTGCTCTACAAACCACGCACATCCTTCATCCGATACCCCTTGACATCATTCTGCTCTCTTATTTTACGAAGCTCTTTTGCTTCGCTAAAAGTCAAGTGTATCAAAACCCAAAAAAAAAAAAAAATCATAGAAAAAAATTACCAGACAATCAGCCTTGTACAACTCATCAACTTGGAACAACTACAACTCGTCCACTCGATCGTATGACTTGCCGCCAGCTCTTCGACCCACCCACCCATTTTGCCAGATCTTCGTGAAGGCATAGTTACAGTCATCGGATATCGAATACCGACATAAAAATACGGATTGACCCAGGAACCTTTAGCTAGAGTCTCTTGGAACTCGTCTGAAAACCCGCTGGCAGGTGTCAGTGGATGCACGTAAAGACATCTCCAACGCAGTCAACGCACAATATCGTCTGATATCATGGCTACTGTAACTATATCAACGCCTATCAAATCCCACAAGGGTCTCTTCTCTACCCGTACCGCCGGCGGGCGGATCCCTCTTACCCCCTCCCCTCGACAGTCAGGCAATGGCGTGAACTCGTCACCGTTTACTCCCGACAAGCATACCAAATCGACCTACGGGGGGAACCTCACGGCGCACTTGGCTCGCTCCTCCTCGAAGAATCCCCATCGCGAGTCTCCGAAGTCCAACATTGCCCGTACCGTTTCTACGCCTCGCAAAGCTCTTGAGCTTGGTGTATCTGACTTTACTCTCACTGGAACTGGTCTAAGGACGCCCGGCAGTGCCAAGTCAAGGAAAGCCCCTTTGCGACAAAAGCCCGCCAAGGCCACTATCAACTATGGTGGCGACCGCTTTATTCCTAACAGGGGCGCCAGCTCGGCCATTGCTAATGCCGGTTCCAGCAAGCTGCCGCGAAGTGACCGTCAGCGGCCAAAGACCACCCAAGCAGATAGCTCCTCGGTCCTATCCTCTGCAGCCGATGATGCGGCGGCCGCGCTGGAGGGCCTTAGCATCAATGATGAAGAAGCGGATAACTACTCTCGTCCTTCTCCCAACACTGTTGCCTACCAAGACTCCTTGGCTAGTGCGTGCGGAGTCAAGCTCAACACTCGAATTCTCGAGTTCAAGCCCGCACCCCCCGAGTCATCTAAGCCGATTGATCTTCGTCAACAGTATAACAGACCTCTCAAGCCAAATGGAGCCAGCTCTGCTCAGCTACGACGGCGCATCGCTACTGCCCCTGAGCGTGTTCTTGACGCTCCTGGGCTCATTGATGATTATTACCTTAACTTGCTCGACTGGAGTTCTGGAAACCAGGTTGCTATCGGTCTTGAGCGCAGTGTCTATGTCTGGTCTGCTGACGAAGGCAGTGTGAGCTGCCTTTTGGAGAGTCCTGCAGACACTTACGTCAGTAGTGTTAAGTGGTCTGATGATGGTGCCTATGTTGGTGTTGGTCTTGGAAGCGGTGAGGTTCAAATTTGGGATGTTTCCGAGGGACAAAAAATCCGCAGTATGTTTGGCCACGATACCCGTGTTGGTGTCATGGGATGGAGCAAGCATCTGCTCTCTACCGGTGCCCGCAGCGGCCTGGTGTTCAACCACGACGTCCGTATTGCTGAGCACAAGGTTGCTGAGCTCGTCTCACACACTTCCGAGGTTTGCGGCCTGGAATGGCGTTCAGATGGTGCTCAACTCGCTACTGGCGGCAACGACAATCTCGTGTCCATCTGGGATGCCCGCTCGTTGTCTGTTCCCAAGTTCACCAAGACCAACCACAAGGCCGCCGTCAAGGCTCTTGCCTGGTGCCCATGGAACATGAACCTGCTAGCTACTGGCGGTGGTTCTTACGACCGTCATATCCACTTCTGGAACTCCACATCAGGTGCTCGAGTCAACAGCATTGATACAGGCTCTCAGGTGACATCTCTTCGATGGAGCCCTCATTACCGAGAGATTGTCAGCTCCAGCGGCTTCCCAGACAACTCCCTCAGCATCTGGAGCTATCCTACTCTTGTTCGCAACGTCGAGATACCTGCTCATGAGAGTCGTGTTCTTCACAGCTGCCTGAGCCCAGATGGTCAAATGCTGGCCACGGCTGCTGCTGACGAAAGCTTGAAATTTTGGAAGGTGTTTGAGAAGAGAGCCGGCACGACCTCTGGCATCGGTGGCTCTGGAGCCTCCGGCAAGGCTGATATGGCCAAGCATATGACCATTCGGTAAATAGAACGTCACATGAATAGTAACTTGTCAAACGGTAGGTATGAGAGCTGTTTCATTCACTAGTTGACTTTGGCGTGGGTGGTCAAATTGTAAGCGCGGCGCTCTGGAGTTTGTTTTGTACTCTTTTCAGCACGTGGCACGAAAGCGCTTCTCCACGCACGAATGAAGCAGAATGGGAAGGTCTACATACGAGTGACGACTTGACGTTGACGGCGTGTATCTTGGGTTACAAGTGTATATATGAATTTTGGGCAGCAGACAGAGTTTGGTGATGATTAGTGCTTGGACTTGGAAGTTTTAAATTGTAATTGTTTGGTTAGTATGTCGCGCCCTTGTCTGAATGTGCCTGTGGGATCAGCAGTATGAGGTAACACATGATAGCATTTGCCAGTAGTCCATACTTGTATGCTGGCGGTATCGCTGGTTTGGTTGGGTTGGATTGAGGAGCATTTCTACGTCGGCCCGAGTCACTGAGTTCGGTTGCAGGTGCCCTTATGAACGGAGGGGCGTCAGCGACCAAACTCATTACGCATCATCCTATTCGAAGCCCAATCTTGAGTGACCGAGACAGCGCAGCGGTTGCCGCCCTGATGCGACGTAACAAACCTAAGCCCAGCACGTAAAATGATATATACCAGTATGACATGGCCTCCATCTTCCTGCTCCGTTCAGGCGCACCGGACCAAATGTGTATGGAGCCTGCCTCCAGCACTAATGTGGGCGACTGATTACTAAGCGCCGGGGGATTGTGGAGGGGCCTAAGTCGTCGAAATCCACCTACCACAGCCCATCTCTCACCACTGCACACCACGGGCCAGGATACAGCGAACGGCACCGAAACCCTTGTATCAATTTCGAACATACAGGCAAAAGCACGATAGCCCGCCGTCGCAAACGCAGACGCATAATTACAGGCAATAAGGACCGTGAAGTCTCGACGATTTGGGCGCCACTGCAAGGCTGGGAGATTTCCATCTGCACTCGACCGCGGCCAGTGACAGACAATCGGCCTTTGTACATTCTCGACACCCCGACGCGGCGAAACAGGTTGCGACTAGTCCTCGACAGCATTTGAAGTCGGCGACGGGATTTAGGAGCTGTGCTCAGGTTCACCGGATTCCAGTGTCGTACGGGCACGCTACGGCTGCGACAGAAGGCCATCATGTCGAACCAGGCGGTCGGAACCGTCTACCAGACCATCATCGATGAAGTCATCAACAGTTCGCGGGTGGACTTTGAAGAGAGCGGCGTGGAGGAGAATGTTCTAGAGGAGCTGCGTCAGGTAAGAAGTTGCTCTCCGGCTGTCCGGTTCCCCCTTCAGATGATTTGCTTCGGGGCGGTTGCAACGAGGATGCACCATGGGAGGCGAACAGCCGCAAGCCCTTTGCGGGAGCTGTGCACCCCGACAGAAGCCATCAATCCGGATTCCGTGGTGGTCCAGGATTTCTCGGATGGAATTGCGAAGCCAGGAGTGCTGCAGCAGAGCGAGTGCGATTGCGCATCCATGGCTGGAGTGGCGGCAGGACGGATGGCAGTCACTCTGGGGACCAAGAAGCGGGCGAGAGGAGGCGGGCAGTCCAGCGCTATATGGGCCTTTTAAGCTCCCCGCCCCCCTGCTCAGCTGTTGGCATCACTGCCCGCTCCGCCTGGTGTGCCTGATCTGGCCGCAACTCTGCCTAGGCACCATCGTCACCATGCCCCCCCCAGCAAGTCACGTGCCGCCCCATATCGGGTCCCCGGGTGTCGGAACGGCGTACGGGGACGACTTACACGCTCCCACGACTTGGGTGAATAGTTGAGAGGCGCCGTCTTCTGTTGGGGCCTGCATGAAGATGGCAATGCTGCTGAATCCCATGAATATCCCAGCCCAGGAAGCTTTTCTGGCTTTATTTATAGACCTACTCTCGCTATCCTCTCACCGCAGCCTAACCTGCCATCATCTCTCCCTCATCTCGTCTTGCGGCCCATCGAAACTCCGAGATCTCAGATTTGTTTGATTGATTTAGCTAACATGCCCTATTAGGGATGGCAACAAAAGCTTTCTCAGCTCGACGTGGCTCGGTTCCCTTGGGATCCGAAGCCTGAGCCACCACCACCTGCTCCAGCACCCGCAGCTCAACCACAGCCCGCTCCCCAGAGCAACACGACCCAGGCGCAGTTCTCACCAATCATATCATTGCCCAATGCTACAGGTGCCCCCGGAGCTACAGGGCCAAACGGCATCAAGTCTGAGCCCGGCATCGTTAAGCAGGAGGCGAACATCAAGCAAGAACCCGGCACGGCAACAGCCATGCCAGCCTTGCCCAACTACAACGGTCTAGATAAATCCAGCGTTGCGGCTAGCAGAGCTGCCCAGCAGCTCCAGCTTCAGTATGGCATGCGGGCTGCGGGCTCCATCAATGCTATCCAAGGTCAGCAACAGCAACAGCCTCAGCAGCAGCAGCAACAACAACAAGGCCAACAGCCCGGTGCCGGCCAATCAAGTATCTCCAACGGTCAGACCGATGGTCCTGGTGATGTTGACGAGGATTATGAAGGTATTCTGATGCAGCGAAATGCCGAAGGCACTCTCAACGAGCTCGGCCGCGTCGAAATCGACCGCATGCTTCACTCCCAAATTGCAGCTAGGGCAAAGTCCATGGAAGGCGGCGGCCTCATGCTTCCTCTGAAAGAAGCAACCAAACACACTGCTACGTCTGCTTCAAGGAAAAGAAGGGGGATTGTAGGGTACGACGGAGGAGACGACGACGACGACATTGACGACGAAGACGCCATCAACTCCGATCTCGATGATCCTGAGGATGAGCATGATGACGATGAAGTGGATGACGAGGGACTGGGTCACATTATGCTATGCATGTATGACAAGGTCCAACGAGTCAAGAACAAGTGGTATGTCTTTTTTTTTTTTTTTCGTTGCTCACCCTACAGTACCACACCAACATCTGGGTGTTACATACACGCGGCAACACGAGTCAATGCTGACAACCTGCAGGAAATGCACTCTGAAAGACGGGGTGCTCACTGTCAATGGCAAGGAATACGTCTTCCACAAAGCAACTGGCGAGTATGAGTGGTAGATTCTGTCCACCCACAACCGTACATATTATCCACCCACCTACCGCTGTTATTCCTCTGGGAAACGGTGCGGCAAAGGCGGCTATTCAGAATGACGCATATCGGGGGCAGTCACGACAGGTGAGCCGGAATTGGTGACGATACCTTCACGCCTCAGACGGGATGAAACATGACAAATTTGATACTAGTGGGGGCGTTTCGTTACATTTGTACAGTAGACCTAGTAAATCGAATTGAAAAAGGAGATATTGCCAACATCTTCACCGTGTGAAGTGTATCTGATTGGGAGGGTGTAAGCGCTTTCAACGGACGGACCACCCCTTCTTGACGCTGCAAGGATACTTTTCATCATTTTCTTTTCGCCAACCTTTCACCGGCGACTCGTCACGGTAATCCTACGGTCGAACCAACATGCATAGGATATATGCACCAGTGGTACCACAACTAGCCGCAACTCCAATCAAGTTCTCCCTGATGCCGCTTTTCACGACCCAACAGCCAATACGGAGTACTCCCGCCGTGTTATCACAACACATGTACGATGCGGGGGAAAGGGGGTCATGGCCTGCGCGGCAGAATGGCCAATTTGCAGCCGTCGCATACAGACAGATAAGCGCAACAGGCGCCGCTTGTCGCGCTTGAAAGCTCGCCGCGTCAGGAAGGCACTTTTGGTAGCAATTAAACGTGCCGTGCAGAAAACGAGCGGTGATGCCTGAGACGGAACACTAGAGGTATCCGTTTGCCCGCCGCAATGTTTGTAAGACGAGGGCTGTCCGGATATTGGTCAGGTAGCGGTCCTAATGCGGCTGGGTCATGCGAGCCGAATCGTGTCGTGGCATGCTAGAGGCGAGAACTGGCCGACTTTGAGGCATATCCAGGCCGCACAAGCTGATGTGTAATAATTTCGAACTGACATTTCCGGAGCTGCTAAGTCATGGTGAATGCTTGCGGGCTGCGTTCCGTATCTCCCCTCCCCCTCCCCCCTGTTGATTTCACTCGTTTCCCTCGTCTGCATGTGTCATGTGGACAGATGCTAGACTGACGAAAAGAGGGCGTAGGGGGACCGCATGGACGGCCAGCTGGCTTCAACTCTACCCCGTACTCAAGAAGCTGATCCCGTCCCAGCACAAAGTACAGCCACGCAGCTGGCTGTGACTGCGTCCGCAATTTCATCCAACTCCTTACACCCCCCACACGTTGTCCCGACAGAACGGTTCAGCCAATGGAAGGCGGCGGGATGTTACACAAAAACTGCCGGTGAGTTGTTTTATCGTCTTAGAAGCGGCCATGCACGAGGAAGAAACGACGACAACGCTTGGACAGCCTTGCTTTCTCAGTTTAAAACCACATTGCCGTCAGCCGCCTGTCGTGTGTCCTTCATTTGCCATTGCTTCCATCCCCGGCTCCCCCTCCCTGTTTCGTCCAGCACTGAAGGGTCATCGGAACCTGCAGTGCGGAGAGAACTGCAGTCCGGGTGACAGGTGATTTGTTTCGATCAGTATTCCCTACCTGACCATCTTGGCAGACGTCCATCGCCGGCACACAACACGTATGTACGTTTTTCATTGGTGACACACCTTTTCTCCTCTCCTTCCCGCCATAAGTTAGTGGTGCAGCGAATTTTGCGTCCGTTAGGCTGGGATTGGGAGTCCTGCCATGGCTGATTCAATCGTCGGGGGGCAACGGAATGAAACATCGGTGTGGTCATCGCAAACGTACATATCTACTTGCTATGCGTCCGCTCGAAAGGAAAAGGCGGTAAAAGGGTTTATGTGCACGCATATCCCCAGTGCAAGATCGTTAATTCCTTATACCTAGGTGTGTGCCTGAATGGGTTGAATTGCTATGGGCGTTCCCGTACGTCATCATTGTCGTGTAAGCTCGATATTAGCACGGGAAACGACCTACCCTTGCACGCATAATCCCGGCACTCTCTAATATCTTCTGTGTTAGGGTGACGTCAAAGATTATCCGTATTCAAGGGTTTGCTATAAGAGATCAGGGGTGAAGCTGAACCTGAGAGCGATGTTTTGTGACATGGGTGATAAAGGCTGACACTCACAAAACCAGCTTAATCAACTCTCTCTTCTTGACCGCATGTCTCCAGAAACTGTCGCTTCCCAATACCTGCACGCGACAAGAAACAGTCACACGTTTTCTATTTGGCCGGAATTTGCCATTGAACCATCCTGGTTGACTCCCCTTGCAATTGTCCTCCGGCTTCTGCTGAACTTGTATAAAAGCAGAAGAGCATTGGCCCTGATACTCTAAGAAACTCAACCATACAATCTCAAGAGGGGGTTGGCCTAGTAAGACACCCGTTTCATGTTCTGGGTAGTCTTTGATGCAAGTATACAGAGCTAGTCCACGCACAACTTCTGTCGGGTAGGTACCGTGGTTTCCGGGCTGGGACATTCTGAAATGCTACACAATGATTCACATACCTGCGTGCACTGCCTGCCCACACTCGCCCTATGATCACCACTTGATAACCAACTCGTCATTACAGGGAGGCACGTAGGAAGCCGTTTGACTATTTGTTTTGGCAATATATTCTCCAATCGCAATACACTGCCACATACACGCCGAGAATATTGCGCACTGCCGGTGTGGAGTAGATTGAGGCCGTAAATTGCTAATCGGCAGCCTTCCTGTAAGACCGAAGCCAACGAAAACAATGTGGTCGCATATTACTTCCTTCAAAGCTGATAATAAATCAGGTGTCCCAAAGATTTTCATATGGACCCAACGGATGGGACCCGGCAGGGCTCAGAGGTTGGAACTTCTGAATACCAATGTCGAGGCCCTCACTCTGCGCGAACCTGCAACATTTGTATTATGCAGTCCTCGGCCCGCACTCGCCAAGCTCCTTGTAAAGTTTTCGATGTAGCCAGTCTCCTCAGAGGCTCGAGCTAGTATTGGCACATACATGGCGTACCAGACGAACGGGAGCCCTTGTACTCTGTCGGTATGTTAGGCCAGGGTACATCGGCGGAGGCACAGGCAGGCAATGCCGATTTTTAGAAATAATTTCTCTAGCTCTGTCTTTCATTCGAGCTCTCCCCCTGGGAATTGGACAAGAAGACTTAAATCTAGATATCCGGACTGGGTTGTAAGGTCCACCGACAGATAACGTGTGCTGCACCGAGTGGTCTGTACTACCCCCCCTCCCCTCGGGGGTGCCTTACACTACATGGCCTGGCCTAGCTGCATGTTTTTCATAGGATCTGGGGAAAACGAGGTAGGTGAATTGCCATCTGTCTAAATATCAGAGAGGGGAGGTGAAGCAATACTCTGTTCAATCTTGGCGAATTTCTGGCTGCAACAGCCGCCGACGATAGCATGTATCCGGTATATACATTAGGTGATTGACTTATTGATGTATTCCGTGGCTTAAGAAAACAGAGCTACTACTTATCTGATCGTCTCGTACTGATAGTTGTGTGCCGAGCAAGCTGTTGAAGGTTAGCAATATGGCCAAAAGCCGCTGGTCTGACAGAGGGATAGAAACTCAGCATGTTACGAATTTCTCGACACGTACTGTCAGCTTCATGGCAACCTACCGGGTGAGCGCTGGCACTGATTTCAACCAGTGCGGAAGCAGGTACATAGTCGACGTGTCTCGGCAAGATCTTCTGAGGACATATTGTGGAACATTATCAGCGCAGCCACCAAACCGCCCATTGAGCGGTGTAAGGGAAGGTGGTAGTATCTTGGCAGGTGTGCTTCCTTCGTCTGCATCAGGTGTAACCCAATCCCAGATAGATGGGAACGAATCACATGGCGCAGTGAAGATGCGGAGAGGACGGAGGTGTGCCGCTTGATGCGTCTCAAAGTTGACCGAAGTACTATTCAGCCGGTCTTCAAGACAAGGCCGCACAGAATTCGGCGGGGAATAACGCCCTGGCATAGATGTAACTGTGAAATGGATCGGCGTATTGCCTCTCTCTCGGTGCTGCGTGCACCTGTGGTGGTTACCATTTTCTCCCAGGACGGATTTGGTCGTTGGCCGGGCGTAGATAGTGGTCAAGTTTTGGGTTGTTTCAGGGCCTCCAAAATGGGCGTCAAACACACGAGAATTGCGCTGTTCGGCACACATGCCAATAGCGAATGGCAGTATTGTTGAGCACTAAAACCTGACCTGCATGACCTCGTCCGCGACCATTCTACCTAACGATGCACAATGTGGAAGGGTGTCATTGGAAAGTCGCCATGGCGGACCTTTTTGGACCAGGGTCGGGGTGTCTGCAGCCATACCTGGGATCTCTGTTCTGGCCACGTCCTCGGGTAGGCTTCTTTCAGTACGAAGATAACAGGTAGCCAACTGTTGCATTGCAAGATGAAGGCGCGCTGCCGGACGTCAGTAAGGTGACAGAAGTACGAAAATGAGCGGTACCAGGTTGGAATTGAAAGATCAAATAGCAATTGCACAGGACGGAGTTGAATATTGAAGTCACCTGGCCGAGAGCTGCAATTTCTCACACAAAAAAAGCACGACAGGTTACTGGCCCAGGAGCGAGGTGGAGCCATGGATTCGAACGTTCCTTCCGAATATGAAATAGTTGCCGAGCTTGCCTGCTAGTAGGTACTTAAGTACCCGACTGGGTGGGTACCGGAGCGCGCTATTGCACCGAAAGAAGGGCAAGGCCACACCACACTATTTTGTGTTGTACCTCCGTAACGTGCGACACTCATTAACTCCGTACCCCAACATCAGAACATCCAGTATCCGTGTCCGAAAGAAAGCACCGTGGCTAGCAATATCAATTTACATGTTGGGGAACTACAGTACATATGACATGGACGGATGTGGAGTTGGCTCAACCGCTCGGGTGTGGTTTTTAGGGATGCTTGTGCGAGGGTGTTGCCGCGCGCCATTGTGGAACAAAGCGGCGGATCGCAGACCAGGATGGACTAACATCAACCAGTATCATACATACACACATCTCCCTAGGAGCGTTGGCTCTCGACCTTTGTAAATAATAAATAACAATACTAGTAA